TACTGTAGTATTCAGAAAATGTTTAGATGTATGTGAGACTCAACAGAGTACAATGGAAGACAAGAAACAGGAGTCAGATGACTTGGATACTTGTGCCAGTTTTGTTTCCCTTAGTTTCCTTGGGTAAAAAATTAACTTATACTAGATGACAGTGAAGGTTCCTTTCATGTCAAAGATGCTAATTCTGACCTGCAGATTAATTCAAAAGGAGAAAACCATTTTTCAGCAGAGGTCCCTGAATATAATTCAGAGGAGTCCATGAACTTGGCAGGGAAATATTATTTCTTACTTTCATAAAGCTACACATGATGTTCACATTTCTTTCAATTATGAATGCAGGAAAACAACCCAGAGTAATTTTATTAGTACCTATGTATTTTGCACCAGGAGATACTGATATCATATTATAGATACTGTAGATATTCAAAGTATCATTTATGTTCAATACTCAAAGAGAGTAATCTTGAGAAATTGTAGATGTTCTGCCAGAGCAGGTAATTTTTTTAAAAAAATATTTTTAGTTGTTGATGGACCTTTATTCATTTATTAATTTATATGTGGTGCTGAGAATCAAACCCAGCTCTTCACAAATGCCAGGGCAAGTGTTCTACCACTGAGCCACAAACTCAGCCCCAGAGTATGTAATTTAATCAATTAAGTAACTCTTCATAATGTCAAGACTTTTATTCTGTAACACTCCATTATTTTACTGTATAACGGTGTTCTACTGTAATTCTAATTTTGTGATTTCAAAACATTATTTTTAGATGGGTTTCATCATTTTCATTAGAGTGCCAAAGAAGAACAAATCATTAAAAAGAGCTAAACAATCTTGTCTTCAAGGAAAATCTTTTGGTATTCTTTTTAGAGCATGTGAGTTGTGGTTAAGGGCTAAAGGTCTACGGACCAAATCTACCTTACTGTCAATTAAAGGCTATGCAACTGTAAGCAATTAATCTCACAATAAATCTTTATTGGGTGGGTGAGGGAGAACTTTCTATTATGAGCTTGCTATATGGATTAAATGAGAGTTCCTGAAAATCCTTCAGAGCAAGGCCTTAACACAGCATCATGTTGTTCTCTAAAAAGCAAAAATCCCAGTTTGGAGAGATCAGTTCAAATAGGGGTTCCATATTCCAGTTTCTAGATTGAGTTAATGAAAACAGAATAATAACCCATTTAATTTCACAAAAAATAGAGGCCTACCAACTGACCCGGGGATCAAAATTTGGCCTGTGAAGAATAGTTTTTTTTAAAACAGCCTGTGAAGAATAGTTTTTGTTATTTTTAATGGTTGAGGGGGAAAAATTCCGAAGAAACACAGGATTTTTTAATTCTTATGTGGTGTTGAGGATTGAACGGAGTGCCTCACATGTGCTAGGCAAGAGCTCTATTACTTAGCTAGAGCTTCAGTGTCGCTTATCAGTCAAAATAGTTGTTTCATACTATAATGACAGAGATAAGCAGCTGTGACACATCATATGACTCACACAGAAAAGGTTTCCTGGCACACTCTGAAACCTGCAAACTGTGATTACAATTCATGTATACGGCTCTGGAGTCAACATCTCCAGAACCAAAAATATAAAATAAAAGTGCAAATTACAAAGGCTAAAGAGACTTGGAATCAATGCCTACTTTATATTCTGCCTTGGTAGAAACTAATGCCAGTTTCTAAACATTATAATGTATACTTTATCAAGAATGTTCTAAGGTATTCTGTACTCCTGAATTAGATAATTTAATCCTCATTGTAACTTTTCTGGGCATTGTTATAATCCTTTTTACATATGAGACAAGTTATACACAAAGAGATTAAGAAACTTACTTAGCTCCCTGTTTATAGGTTAAGTCCTACAGCCAAAAAAGCAAGCATTCACTTATCCAAATTCTCTTTCTTTAGAATGAGATGAAAGTAAACTTCAGAGAATACTACATATGTATGCATTCACTAATTACACTTGAGTCACCAAGGGTGAAGCAAAATAACTATCACTTTAGATAATTCTCCTCAGTGGAAAGAATAAAATCTATAGAAATGTTCTTTATTCTGGAGGTTCCATTACACAGATATAGGTTGTGGCTCAGTGGTAGAACACTTGCCTAGCATGTGAGAGGCACTGGGTTCGATTCTCAGCACCCCATGTAAATAAATAAAAGAATGATTCATTGACAACTTAAAAATTACTTTTTAAAAAAAGTCAGTAATCAAACAAAAGTAGATAACTAATACAGCACAAAACACACATGACGATTAACACTGCAAAGGACAGACGGAGAAAAAAAAATCAACAACATAATTAAATAAATAAGGTTAACAAGTGATATATAGCATATTCTACATTTCAAAATGTCAATGTGATTGTACACTCCCACTCCTGGTACTGGAGGCTGAACCCAAGGGCACCATGCTATTGAGCTATATCCCTTGCCCCTTCTATTTTTTTTTTTTTTATTTTGAGGCAAAGTCTTATTAAGTTGCAAAGGCTAGCCATGAACTTGTGGTCCTCCTGCCTAAGTCTCCCGGGAAGCTTAGATTATATTCCATCATGCCCGGTTTGATACACACACACACACACACTTTTTTTTGAGAGAGAGAGAGATTTTTCATCTTTCTTTATATGTGGTGCTGAGGATCGAACCCGGGCCGCACGAATGCCAGGCAAGCGCGCTACAGCTTGAGCCACATCCCTAGCCCTGATTATATTTTTTTAGTTGTCAATGGATTTTTATTCTGTTTATTTAAATGTGGTGCTGAGAACTGAACCCAGTGCCTCATGTTAGGCAAGCCCTCTATCACTGAGCCACTATCCCAGTCCCGGTTATACTCTTAATGGCAACAATTAATTAACAGTCTATTTACAAGACTGTGTCAGTCCTAAATTAATAAAGCTGTGACTTTTTACTGAGTGATATTAAAGGCTTGAATAAAAAACCAATCTTGCTGGGCAAAGAGGCACATGCCTGTAATCCCAGCCAAGGCAGGAGGGTCTAGAGTTCAAAGCCAGCCTCAGCAAAAGCAAGGTGCTAAGCAACTCAGTGAGACTCTGTCTCTAAATAAAATACAAAAAAGGGTTGGGGATGTAGCTCAGTGGTGTAGTGCTCAATCCCCAGTACCAAAAAAACCCCACAATCTCAATATTGTAAAGATGCCATTTTGCCCAAATTTCCTCATAGGCTTATTAGATTTTAATCAGAATAAGAGGATTACAGAATTTCTTATAGAACATGACAAAAATTGTGTAATCTTTATCTGGAAAGAACTAACAAGCAGGATTAGGTAAAAACAATTTTAAACAAAAGCACAATTAGAGAGACCAGCCCCATCATGAAGACTATACCATAAGAGCCTGTATGGGAAGGCACAGAGCACTTTCTCACACCAAGTTTTATGTTCTGAAGATACACCATATTTTGCTAAACCTTTATCCCAGTAATTGTGTAATCTGCAATTATATAATAATTTCTGTAATTATTAGTGGAGTATTCCACCCCTACTGCAGCACAAAAATGTAAGCTTCAAGAAAGTGTTTTCCAGGACCCACTGGCAGGCATATAGATAGTGAGCCATGTCCAGAGGTAATGAGTATTATGCAATCAGATACTCTCACACACTGATGGCTCAAGGATGAAAAGAACTATCACTGTGTTGGGCAGCCTGGCAATTAGTTACAAAATCTTAAGTGGGCATTTCTTCTGAGTGACTATACACTTTCAGAAACTTATACTGAGGAGATAAGTTGTTTCACCTAATAGATTTTATATAAGGCTACCCATTATAATGTGTTTTCCACAATTAAAAGCTAGACCTAATATGTCTACTTACAGGTTGGATCTGACAATGACATTTAGAGAAAAGTTGTTTATATAAAAAGTGGTTGCTATAGTGAAAGAAATTCCAGCAAAGAAACTGATTTATACACAGAGTATGAATACAGCTACATTCTAAAGACAATCAGAAACTCCCAAATCTTTGTCCTAAATAAAAAATGGAAGAATACACTATAATACACTTTATCTATCTTATTTTAATTAGTATTTATAAATACAACCTAAGTCTTCCATGGGGTAAAGTTGTTATATTTATGAATCCAGGAAGCAGTAACTCTTGTAAGGAGTACTGAGAAAAATGACATTTCGTCTCTCTTTCTCACCTTGTGAGAAATCTATTGCAGATTAATATAATTAACATAGATTCCCAGCCTTAACAGGTTACATTCATTACAGCAAAAATATCTGAGATATCATCTTTGACAGTCTGAAAAATACCAGCCATTAACAATCCCTAAATGACAACAGAGAGCCAAGAGACTGGGAAATCCACTAGGCCTAGCCTTTTTAAAAAAAAGTTTGTCCTATAGTTCTGTGTAGAAATGTAGCAAAAAGTGCAATTGTTGGGATCAAAACAAAGGGATAATCCCTATAGCCATAGCTAGCCAGGAGGTTGAGGCAGAAGATCACATGAGTCCAAGGGTTCTAGACCAGCCAGAGCGTAAGCCCCCAGACCCCCTTCTCAATAGCAAAAAGCAAAACAAAACAGGATGGCTCTTAATATTAGGAAGCTCCTATATTTTATCTGTGTAGGCAGATAAAATATGTTCCAAATCTCTATATATCTAGAAGGCACTGGAGTGCTGTTTACTTGGCAGCATAAGCGTAAGCGAGCTCAGAGGTCAAGTAAATTACACTACTACCACCAGTTATGTGAACAACAGAAGAAATACAAACAACAGAAATGTTGTTAGGCAATGTTTTACCAATATTACAAACCAAAATCAGAATAAGGCAAATACAACAGAAAGAAATTCTACACTCAAGTATGTTAGGTGGTTTAACCATGTGTAAAAGATTAGTAAAAGTAAGATAAAACTAGAATTCATCTGTATATACTCAAGCCTACACTGTTATATACTAGCTAATGATGGATTCTGGAAACATCATCAAGACTTATTAATTAGTTCCCTCTTCAAGAAATACTTAGTAAGACCAGGATTACTCACGTGATATCCCTGCGTTGATAGCAGCCCTGAAGCAGACAGGCAATCAGGTCACTGATAAACTCCACGTCATCTCTGTGAAGGGCTGCCTCTAACTCCTGAAGAAAAGGGGGGAGGGGGGAAGAGATATCAAATACAGAGATCAAAATCCACCTGCCCCTTCCTACCACCGACATCACAGATCCCAATCAACAGAATGGTCAATGGAGCAATAAGGCTTACTATAAATCAATTCTGCCCTTCTTTCCATATTATTACTAAAAGAGCAACGGGAGTTTTAGCTTTCTGGTTTCCCGTGGGAGTTATTTCTCTCACTGATCCTTACCAGGTTCCATTCCTTTACCTGTGTACTGGAAGAAATATGCATACTTCGTTTTTACTTTTTATTTATTTCTATGTGGTGCTGAGGATCCAACCCAGCACATGCTAGGCAAGCGCTCTATCACTGAGCTACAACTGCAGCCCCTGCACACTGAGGATCATGTAATTGATTACAAAGTATTCCTCATTTATTAAACAGTTTTAATAGATAAACTACTTGCAACAATTTTAAAGAACCACTGTATTTAGAGGAAAGGGGCCAGGGGGAAGGGAGGAGGAGAAAGAAAGGGAAAATATAGGAGAATGACACTGACTAAATTATATTATCAAGTGCATGTATAAATGTCACAATGAATTCCACTGTTATGTATAATTATAATGCACCAATAAAAATATGGGGAAAAGAAAGAACCACTGTATTCTGAACTAAACAGCACTGGGAGGAAGCAATATGACAATTTTTATTGTGAGTACACTTATACCTACATGAGATTGCTAGAACCAAGATTAATCTTACATCATCTGGAGAGAAATGAGGTAATTTCTGTTGATGGTCTAATGCTAGGTAAGATGTAGTTGCTTTCCTTGGGTTCAGGTTGATACTGTTGAAGACTTCGCTATCTCAGCACAGTAGTATAAATAAGATTAGTTAAAAGGGCCACTGGACAAAAAGTAGCAGTGGGAATCTTAAGGGGCTTCTATTTCTCATCAGCCTCCCAAAATACACATTTTCTGAGGGGACGTAATACATTGTAAGTCACCTTAGAACATATACAACTGCATTCTTTCAACCAGGATGCTCTCCACCTTCCTCATACAACCATTTCATAGGAAGTCTGTGTATAGCTGACTAGGTCATAACCAGATCTATAATCCACAGAAAAACCAAACTTTCAATAATGTTATTAATGGTTCTGAAAGTATTGAATACAACTTCTGATATAAACACCAATTATATGATAGTGAATTAAAGACAATAATCTGTTTCTAGTATCAAAATAAAAGTTCTTAATTTACTGAACTATTCCATTTGTTAATTTTTCTTTAAAAAATCCCTCAAGTTTAGAAATCCTCATTCCAGGGGCTGGGGATGTGGCTCAAGCGGTAGGGCACTCGTCTGGCATGCGTGCGGCCCGGGTTCGATCCTCAGCACCACGTACAAACAAAGATGTTGTGTCCGCCGAAAAAAAACTAAAAATAAATAAATAAATTCTCTCTCTCTCTCTCTCTTCTCTCTCCCTCTCCTCTCTCTTTAAAAAAAAAAAGAAATCCTCATTCCAAAAACTTCACAGCATAAAACAATTGCTAAGTGTACTAATTGACACAAGCTATAAAATACGCTGAATACTTCAAGTGTAAAGGAAGATGCCCTGCACTGCCTTGACAGCTCATGTAGATGATACTCAAAATACAAAGACAGGGGCCAGGGATATAGCTTCATTGGCAAACTGCTTGCTAGCATGGCTTTCTTCTGTAGCACTGCAAAAACAAAACAAACAAACGAATGAAACCCCCCCCTCCTCACACACACCCAAAGATAAGGTTCACCAAGCTGAAAAGATTTTGCTTGTCTTAAATATAAACTTGGAAATTGCTAGCACATTTATGGCAATGGTTCTTGCGTTAGCTTATTAACTGCGGCAGATTTCTTTTCTACATTCTAATTAGTGGTAATCCACATAAATAAGAAATCCTGGGGCTGGGGATATAGCTCAGTTTGTAGAGTGCTTGCCTCTACAATCCCCAGCACCACCCCCCAAAAAGAAAGAAAGAAATCAACAAAAGATAACAAGCATCTAAGCTATAATTAGTCAGAATTCAGTCATCATCAACTATTTACTGGGGCCCCACCCAGTTTAGATAGGAAAGATAAAGTGAGAGATCCAGTGATACAAAAAATAAAAACAAAGTCATTATACTATGAGGTACAGAAAAGGTGCCATGGGTGCTAGAGAGTTGAGAAGAAGAAAACTGCTTCTGGTTGTGGGAAGCCTGAGCAATTTCATGAAGATGGAGTGACTTGAGGTGGGAAAACTGTGACACAATGTTGAGACTGAACAAATCAGATGAAGGGAAGGACAGGATAGAAGGCACCAGGAGGGTGTTAGGTTTGGTTTAACTATTCCATAGGTCATGTGAAAGGGAAGTAATGCAAGCAAGATGGACAGAGGATAATGAGTAGTGGGCTAATGGATTTGGCCTTTCTTTGGAAGACAATGGAAACCCACTAGCTTATTTTTATAGAGGAGAGGCACAGGGAGACTAATTTAGCTGAAGTGTACACAAGATGAATTCCAGCAGCAGCTAGTGGGAGGTGAGATGTCAGCACAGGCAACAGTTCAGGAAAAAGCTTCTGAAGGACTCACTGAACAAGAAAACAAGCAGGAGGGAGAAACAGGCAATCAAAATCCGAGAGAAATAAATGAGACCAAGGCAAGGGAAGATTCAAACAGCTCATATTTTCAGTCTGGTCACTGGGCAAGACTCCAAAGTAAACAGCAATTATAACAGAAGCTAAGTCCTTGAAGCAAAAAGCCCCAGGCCACCCTGTTTGACAGGTAAGTCAGAATGCAGGAGCTGAAAGGTAAATTACAGATCATATTTCATCCCTCTCAATTTAAAGATAAAGAAATGAGGTCCAGAAAGGTTAACTGACTTGCCCAAGGGCGCTCAGCAAATCAGTGATGGAGTCAAAGTCAGGTCACCCAGAAGCCAGGTCACTGGATGCCTTGTTCCTCCCACAAAAAGCTGGTTCCCACTGAATAACATTCTCTCTTCTAGAAAAGCCTGATGGCTTCAAAAATTTCACTAATCCCTGCAGACACAAACTCTGCTAAGTCTTCACATTTACCTTTCTCTTACCAATCCCTTCCCTGTGCCAAACCATACTGTGGTCCTTCACATGGAATACTTTTAATTTACAACATCTTCCAAGCTGAGTTCCACTCTGCTGTTTTTTCAGCCATGATGCTATCACTGCAGTATCTACATACAGTTACACACTGCTTTATGGGTCCCTGTCCCAGACCTTTCTCCACCAGGATGAATTAAAAGCACAATATGATTCTTGAATGAAGGTGTTGTGGGTGGCACTAACTGATACCAAATTAAATGATAATGAAGGCCACACTGGGAGGGCATTACTGATTGACACTTAGAAATCACTTCTGTGGTAAGCAATTAAGAACACAAATTCTATAAAACAATCAATACAGAGTAGAATGCAAAAATCTACATTACATTTTTTAGCTGAAGTGAGATTTCTAAGAAATCTAATTCCCTTTCTCTTCCATCTCTGACTTCTGCCTATAGATATCCTCTTCTGGCTTCCTCTCCCTAGCACTGTCACTGTTATCAGAAGTAGATTCTAGCTGGAATATTGTCTTCTGTCTTCACAAGCTGCTTATGGGAAAGAAACAGCCCTGTTTGCGTCTCTGTGGTCCTATGCATAACAAAGAATTTAGCAAACAGTATGAAGAATATGGCAAATAATTCACCCAAAACATAGCTCACTCACTATATGCTGAACACTAGGAATATGAAGGTGAATAAGAGGAAAGAGGGAGACAGAAGGAGGATTGGAGAAAAGAAGAAAGAAAAAGAAAAAATTCCAAGTGTGCGTAAGGCAGAAACAACAAAAAAAGTGCTAAAATATAAGCCCAGAATGGGGAAATTTCTCCCCCTCTTTTTGTGTTCACTGCTGTCTCCTCAGCAGCTAAAATAGTACCTCATGGTAGCTATTTCTTGGCTGGATAATTAGCAAATAATTATAAGACACTATGATAAATACTATATTAAATATACCAAGTGATATGGAGACAAAGAGGAAAATGCAGGGTGAGTCTTTGCCTGAGAGGTTAAAACTGGCACAGAACCCTTAAGAGAAGAGTAACAGGTAGTGAGAAAGAGCTGGTTCACGGCATGAGTGGGAAGTACCAAGTGCTTCCCAAAGTGCAGATGGTGCCAAGAGTGTTTGATGAGGATGGCTATTCCTTGAAAACCACAGCAAAGCGTGGACTTTACTCCTCTATGCAATTGAGCGTGAAGGGGGAGAGTGACATGACCAGGTTTCTCTCTGTCTCAGGATAGTAGTCTGAGAACAGTGCGCAGGAATGACCAGGAAGAATACTGGAGGTGGGCACCATGGGGCAGCAACACTAACACATTGAAGAACCTCAGGCCCCACAACTGACTTATGCAAATTGGAACCAGTTAACAAGAGTCCCATGATTCCTACGCATATATAATTTGGAAGGTGCATCTACAGGATATGCCATTCATTTGGAAGATAATAGGTCAGAGTCAGCTAGCTGTAAAGCAGCTGTGAGAACAGAGAAAGACATGAAGACGTGTGAAGTCTGGTTTTTAATGAACAAAAGAAACATAATACCAACAGAAATGGAAAAAAAAAACAGAGCTTCAGAATGTTATAGGTAAATAAAATGTACTGAAATAAGATAATCTGCAAATCAACTTAATTTCTGCAATAAAGACTCTGAATTAAATCTTTACATTGTAACTCCCAACATAAGCAAATGCCCCTTGTTTTCCTAAAAACGTTACATTATTTTATGATTATGTCATGCAGAGGAGTTCAGTTGTGGAAATCTGTAGAATTCAGAGTTCATGCCTCTAGCTCTAAATCCTGTTGAGATGTGCCAGGTGTAGTGGTGCACACCTATAATCCCAGCATCTTGGGAGGCTGAGGCAGGAGGATCTCGAATTTAAAGACAGCTTCAGCAGTTTAGCAAGACCCTAAACAACGTAGTGATACATT